TTCTGCCTTGAGTGACTGTGATACTATGGACACCCACGTAGAATGTGAAGAAGTGGTTTTGTTTCAATCTTAAGTGTCTCTATTTGATGGACCAACAGATAGTTCCTTTGGAATTTCGATCTTCTAAGCGGTATCCACTTTGACCGATGAGTAACGCTGAATTAACGGTATGGATGAGTGGTTTATGGCGATCAAGCGGTAACAAAACCGTAAATAAGGTATAACCAGGCGCAGATCTGTATCAACAATCATGTTTGAGATTGGGGAGAGTTCTAGCCCGCCCTTGGCGGGAGACGAACGTGCTTGTTGCGTGGTTCCAAAGCTTCCATTCGTATTACCAATCCGTTGCGCCAGGATGAGTAGATGGGCGAGAAGTTGGTAGAGGGGGGGAGTGCTGACATAGCATATGTTGTTTCATGTAACACCTACCTACCCACCCGGATGAGTAGAATTAATTGTTTTAACTCCGTGCCTCAAAATATTGACCGAAATACGTTGATATTGTTCATAGAAAGAAGAAAAATGCTGACTGGCGGTTGCGGTTATGGCTGAACAGGCCAGAGTCGTTCAACTATTTAAATGAAGGCAGCTAATCGAGAGTGTGTGTGTCGGGGGGGTCAGAAAGCGGCGTAGAGAACAGGTCTTTAGCTGACTGAGGCACCACGGTCATCCGCCATGAAGAGTGTTGGTCTACTAGCGGTTAGATCAGTTCGCTTACTTCTGCTCCTTCGGCAACTGCTTTTTGCAAACCCCAATTGCACTGCTCTGACTGGCTAGCCAATAATAATGTTTGACCAATGGTCTTGTGCCGTATGCGTTGAAGGGGCACCTCGAGGCGGTGCAATGGTCAGCAAGCCAGTCTCGCTAGAACAATTACGATTGAGTAGTGAGTTCGATACTCGCTGGGTGTCCTTTAATTTCGGCCTTGCGCTTGGAAAATCGCTATACATTGAAGGGGAGGAAGGAAAGCCCTCAGAACTCAATATGATTGGTAGTCCAATCAAAATAATGGTCTTGTGTCGTAAGTATTGGAGAGGAAAACTAGAAGCTTTATCCTAGCCCTTCTCTCATTGGCGAGCCTTGCATCACTCATATCCACCTTCAGTGAAACATTTTCCATGTTCTGGAATCTCACCCTCATTTGACTCATCGTCACTTATATCTGAAAGCGTGTTATATCACTGACCAAAAGAAACCTGACCTGTAAAGATTTGTTTTTTGTGTCACTCATTCCAACGAACTCCTTTATCAAATGAAAACATTTAAGTCAAACTAAGTCAAGACTGTACCTAATAACCAATCCCATCCGAACTTACAATTTCTCTATTTACATTATTCGGACTATTGTCCTCATCTTTGTTGCTATATTTATCCCAACGTTTCAGTGGATAAAGGCGTTAGTTAGATCCAGCGACAGAACGCAAAGAGTTGTGAGTTCAATACCCGGTTAAGGCAGTGGAGAACTTGGAGAGGTGAATTAACAGGAGATAACTAATAACTGACATCCATTAGACATGGCACGTGGAACTAGAACAGTTTACCTCAGCGAGCGAAATAAAGAGTTCAGTTCGACATTCCAACCACCTGAAGAAGACCGGAGCGTACAACGACCGAAACATTGTGATAAATATGGCAACAAAGATGAGAACAATAGTCCGAATAATGTAGTGTACATAATACTTCATCTCAGAAATATAGACAGACACTTACAATTTCACTTCTCACGCTATACAAACCAGAAAATTTTGCAAGAAAATTTAAAATTTTTAACATGAAAAATATTTTTCTTTCTTTAGAAATAAAAAGTAGATCGCCAGTCAACATTTGACACCAGTCATGGTGTCATAAGCTAATATAATAATTAAATGCTACAAAAATGAATTTCTCGGCATTTCATAAAATTAAATAAGTTGCGGTTAACAGAGGAAAATTACTTTGTAGGGGAGCTATAACTCTGAGTAAATAATTAATATAGCACCTTAATATAAAATTATTTATATATACAAAAATACTCGAAAAAATGAGAAACAAGACGTGGAAACAACAAAATGAGTATTATTTATTATCTGGTTATTATGTGGTGTTGTAGACACGAGAGACAGTAATACTGAGTGCAATTATGACGTCAGATGTAGATCAAATATGATTTGGAATACGACTGAATGTTAAGATAAAAAATAAGTAAAAATAAAATGTATACCGTCTTTCTCGTAAGCTTTTTTCATAGATGTGTGTAATGAGTGTCCAGATAATTTTGTATGAAAATAGAAGTGTCCGGGGTTTTCTTACTTCGAATTTTTATTGAGTGCTAAGAGATAAACGTTATTATTATGGCATAGAAAAAGAAAAGGAGCTGAAATTTTCATTGACGCACGAGTTGACTGCCTGTCCGATAGTGAGAATGTCACGTGTTTGTACGCGTAGAGGAAAAAAGTGGAGTTGATTCTCATTGGCTTAGAGAGTGAATTAATGATAATATTAATTGTTATAATTATTTTTTAAATTAAAATTAATTTTTATTTATTTATTTTGTATGGACATGTCACAGTGACAGTATAATTAATTTTTTTTATCTATGTATTTTTATTGGACACGACAACTTTTACCGAAATGTTATAAAAATGAACCCTTTCTAAAATAATTTAATTCATTTGTGAATAAGTTCTGCAAGTTTCATTAGAATCTGACAATTATCTGATTCTTGCAAGAATTTTCAAATCAATGTGTTTTTTAACGATAAAAAGACGCTGAAATTCCCCATACTAATTTATGGTCTCCTGTTGACGTAAGAAAAACAAAAGTTTTAACTAAAATTTCGTAGGTCTAAAAAGCATTAAAAATATAGTTTAATAATAAAAAAAATCCTTTGGTCTTTCCTCTTAATAATAACAAAGATTTTTTTGTTTGACAATAAAACTTTATTTTTATTAGGTTTGGGCATTTTTCGTCATTTATGCACATTTTTTAACGAATCTTTTGAGGTACCTAATTTTGTGTCAGTAACCAAGTGGGTTAATTTTTTATATGCAACGAAATTTATTTCTTTTTCTAAATTCTTTTCAATTATTGGTTTTAATTTAAGAAAACGGCTCATTTTGAAATAAAATATCCATATTTCAAGGGAGGTTACTCTTAAAACCTCTGTCATGTGAGTGTCATAGCTCTTATTCGATGATCTGGTTTTGTGTTTTTAAAATGAGTTCAGCTTTCTAAACTCTGGACAAACTATTCGCAATTATCATAATCATTTCTTTCATTTATCGTTGAAGTTACTATATTGCGAAAAACGAAAAACAAAACAAAAACTTTTTAAACCAATAAAAAACGACTAGAAGGTCTTCTCTTTTTTTGTGTTTTCAACTCTCAAGTTTAAATTTAAAACTTTTCCAATTGCATGTAGTTTTTTTTTAATAACAATATCACTTGACCGCTACAAATTAATACGTAAACATTTAAAAAATTTATAAATTGTTCTAATTAAAAGTTTTTAAAAATGAAAAACGATTCTAGTAAAAAAAACATTATTCATCGAAAAAAGTTTTTTTTTTCTCGTAAGACAGTAGTGTCCATACAAGTTTTATTGCATTTTTTACTGTGAGTCCTGTTTTTGAAGGTCTCCGAGAACTGTCTTTTTTATGACCAATAAACATTTAACCGCTACAAAAAGAGGGGGGTGTAACAGATGTAAGAAAAAAAGATTTAAAACATAATTTAATTCATTTTCTAATAAGTCCTGAAAGTTTCATCAAAATCCAACAATTATTTATTAATCTATTTATTTGGAAGAATTTCCGAAGCAATGTGTTTTTCATCGAAAAAAAAAAAAAAAAAGACTCCCGAGTTTCCCATGTTGACGCCAGAAAAAATAAAATTTAGAACAAAATAATTTTATTTATTTTTAGAAAAAAAAATAAAACAAAATTTCCTTATAATAATAATAATAAAGATTTTGATATAAAAATTTTGCTTTTAATTAAGTCTTGGATATTTTTTCATTGTGTAGTATGCAGATGCTCAATTTTTTTTGTCGGGGGGACTTTTGGATGTACAGTGTAACCCGGATATAAGAGAGATTTTCTCTGGTCCCAAAGTGTTCCCATACTTACCTAAACAAAATAGACCAAACCCGGATATAAGAGACTTCTTCTCCGGTCCCGACAACTCTCTTATATCCGGGTTACACTGTACTTTAATTTTTAATGTACGCATATATATGAAATAACATAGTTTCAATTTCTTTCCTAGTCAAATTGTTCAAAATTGTTAGTTAGTTAGTTATATTTCAACGAAATGTAACTAACAATTTACTTTGAGAGACGTGACTAACAATTTATTTAGGAAAACGTTCGAAAAATATGTTTTTAAAATTGCATTTAATTTTTTTTTTAAATTTAATTTTCATTATTAAAAATGTTGAAAAGTTATTGATTGAAAAGCTTAAACACATATTTGTTTCAACATAATTTCATTGACAAGTGTCAACCTTAATTCATCAGAAATATCGAAAATTATTCAGTGAAAATTTCAGATAAAAATGTATTGTAGCTAGACACTGCGTGCGTGACCGCATACTTATAGATGTAATTGTAATCTTATCGATATAAGACAAATAAATAAAATAATAAAAGGAGATTTGAACTTGCATTCATCTGGTTTAAAACTTTGTTGACGGGCGGATCCTTCCCGTCAAGAGAGTTTGAAATCAGATGAATTTTAATTTCAATGGAATTTCTAATTCGAGGATGCTGATTGGTTAATGTGACTCCTGGCGACTTACAGCAGTCATAAATTGATAACCAACAGACTAGTAAAGTTGATTTTTTTTCTTATTTCAAAGCGCAGTAGTCAACGGGGGAAAAAAAGGTAAAGGTATCTACGCAGTAAAAATGTGTCCAACAGACATGAACAATAATGAAGTTTTAAATTATACCGAAGATAACCCGAACAACGTGGAAACTTTCGATGACGAATCCAAGTTTAGAAGGCTTTATATTGATGGAATGCCACTTACAACCACTGAAAACGAGATAAAAACCTATTTTGAAACGTGGGGAGAGATAGAAGAATGTCTCCTAACGACAAATGCAACGACCATTCTCTGCTGTCTGAAATTTATATTTGCGACTTCTATCGATGCTATTCAGGCCAACCGGCCGCACAAAATAAAAAACGCCATCGTAGAAACCAGAAGAATCTTACCCGATGGCTACCCAGTTAGGAAACTATACGTAGGTAGTATTAAAGGAGGAACAACAACAGGCCACATTTTTGCTGTCTTTAGCCGCTTCGGCCGAGTTCGTGCAGTGGACATGATCAAAGATAAACTGACAGGGCGATGCCGCGGTTTCTGTTTTGTTTCTTTCGATGACTATGATTCAGCCGATAAGTGCCTCTTAGCGATTCCTCACGTCCTCAATCGTAAGGTCGTTAGAGTGCAGAAAGCGATACCGATTTCTGAGATGATGAAACTTTCTGTAGAATCCGGTAACTCTGAGAACGAAGTATCTGCAAATTCGAGAATTTCAGTCGACTACAAGACTGCACGCAATCGGGAATCGAGAAACTCCGTTAGCAGCGCGGACACTGATTTCTCGGAAACTAGTTCGTTGGAAAACCCATCTGAGCACGCCTACACCTGCTGTACCCAAGGAGGCTACCCACAACGCCGAAAAGAATTTGACTTCTCAAACGCCAAACCTGTCCGGCACTATTTTTACCCAGCCTATAACCGCCACTGTGCAAAAGATACAAAGGTCAACTTTCCCCCGTCTTCGCTGTCATTACGTAATTGCTCAACCTATAAACCTGGAATGAATAACGTAAAAGCTCCTTACATGAACGTAAGCTCAAATTACTTTGTTCCTTATGTGAATAAATCTACCCCTACAAGTATTCAATGTCCACTCTATTCAAACACGTCATCAGTGCATTTTATTCAACCGAATTCATATACGCATAGATATAATCTCGCTTGTCCTGATGTACGAAATCATAACTTTTGTCTTCCTTTCGTATCTAAGACTAACGAAAGCGTTTCTTATGTCCCGCTGCCTAATGCTATGTTGATTCCCGTTTCGTTGATGTGCAACTACGCCAGGCCTTGTTTCGTAAGCTCGTGCCAAAATCCTTACATTTGAGTGGATACTAAATGTTTAATCTGGTTTTCTCCAACTCCGCTAGACGCATTTTTTTTTTCTCTTTAAGACAAGCGAAAGTGTTTTGTTTTTATTTTTACTTAAATAGTTTACTTTAACTTCACACATCTAACTTTATTGCACTTCCGACTTGTCCGGACTTTTCGTTATTCTGGGAGTGATTTCGCTTAACTTAACGCCTAATTTGCGTCCGGCTCCCCACGAAACCTACGACGCTAAAATGATTCCTAAAATGTACCGTGAAAATTTTTAACTTTTACATTTCGATGTCATTTTTATTTGCCCACTTTTTACGCGGCTCTTGCAGTGTCTTTTTTTTAACTGCAGTCTCCTTTTTTATCCTTCACACGAAGGCTAAAAATCGTTTGTACAGGTCTTAATACCTAATTCAAATTCCATTCCAACTAATAATCTAAAGCCTTTTCCTTTTACCTCCCCCCCACACTCTTATATAGATGCTGTCTATATAACCAAAACGATCATGATTTCCTCGCTCCTCTCCCAAATGTCTTACTATAGAAATTTTTTTTTTTTTTTTTAAATCAAAAATAGGGTTCACAACGAATATTCTAGTTAAAATTTAACTTGTTCCTTTGCTCAAACATCTCCATACACTTGGATGGATGCTCCATTCAGTCTCTTTGCTGGAATACAGAAAAAAATCTATTCTGTTGATGCCGCTTCTTTCTGAAAACGACAAAGCTCTCACATAATCACTGTTGAAAATAACTTTTAATTATTTAATAGTAATTTTTTTTATCCATGTCCCACGTTAACGTGATTAGTTTGCTTGGTCATTTTGCTCAACTATAATGTCGAACTGTACCATATTTTTTTATATACATACCATACGAAGTCTTATATATTGTGGCTAAATCTTAGTGTGGATTTGAAAGCTAACAAAATGTACTTGTCTCCCCCACTCAACAAGTAAACTCCAAATTATCCTCAAAGTTCCCTTTAATCCTCAGTAATTACAATCTGACTCTCCTACCATCCCTCATCAAAGCTAGATAATCTTAAGATCCGTTTAGGTGAAACATAGGTAGGTTTGCCTGGCTCCTTAGGATTATCTTAGGTTTGCTCTACTTAGTGTATTGAAAACTTTACATAGTTGTCGTTTTACTAGTTTTTTTTTTTTTCTTTGGACTTGGAGCTAAAATAAAAATGCACAGAAATAAATTGAACAATATTGATAAGAACCCTAGTTTACATAAGATCCACCCAGAATAGCTTAAAAAAAAAAAACAAAACGATATTACAACCAGATCAGTAGATTCAATAGCGAAACCTAAACATAGTACTACTTCGCCCCCCACACACACACATATATATATATATATATATATGGAAAATCAAACAAGATAATGCCTACATTTTGAAATGGGGAAATATTTTAAAAAAAAGTTATAAAAATAAGGCAGGTGATAAATTCTGTTATCTATGTACGGAAGAAAAACTATCGCTAAATATAAGGAATCTAAAAATTTATTGAACCAAAAATCGGAAATTCTTAGGTGTAGGCACAGGAAAAGCTGGTTATTAAAAAGTTTTTTTGTTCAATAAAGTAAATACCCCCCCCCCCGTTCGTCTTTTTGTTTTTGTCACGTGGTTATGGTTATTTTGGGTTTTAGCAATAAATACTGTTCCATAATGTTCCTTTTCAGCCAGCTTCTTTGAAGATCCGTTTTTTTTGTTTTTTTTTATTTATTTGGACTTGGAGTTTAAACACTGGACGATTGTCTTCGCCTTGTTTTAATGTTCCTGGTTCTTTTTTTTATTCCTCATTTTTCCTCGGATACCGATTTGTTCCACTGCAAGTTGAGCTATCCGAGGTTTTCCAAACGAGTACCACCATACATGCACACACACACACATATATATATATATATATATATATATATATATATAACACACGCTTCCTCAATTATGTGTTTGAGACGCTCTGACCAGAAAACTTTTCTAACAATTGCTGCATAGATTGTGAATGTACGCTAAAGAACACTCCCGAAAAGCAAACGTACTATTTACAAGTCAATGCTAATAACTTTGCGTATAACTTAGTATAAAAATGTCAACTATAATTGATTACATCTTTGTCAGCAAAGTGTTGCTTAAGCATAAACGTGCAATGGGTTAAAAATCTTTTATTCGTAGATGGATGGGAATGCAAAAAGAGCCTCTTTGATCAAAAGAATTTATCTTTTCAGTCTTGGTCAACAGAAAAGCAAAATACTGGAAAACTCTTAACTCACAAAAAGGTTCATTTGAAATTCTGTCAATATATTCACCACACTAGTTCTCTTATAGCCAACTAGTATAAAACTGCACCCCCCCACGTTAAGGACTGATCTATTTTCCAGTCATTGATCCTGTTACACCCTCCATCTTTTTAGACAAGGTCTAGAGCACAGGTGGTTAAAATATTGCAACCCCGAAACAGCCACGTGTCGCAAAACTCTAAAATTGATTGATTTCCAAAACTGAGTGAACTGTTGAAATAATGGCTAAGACCAAACCTTAAGATTCTTGACGACATATTTTTGACTGTAAGTAGGTGTGTGTGTGTGTTTCTTTTTTACCCTATCAAAATTCTAGCCTGAATTCTGTCCAAATTGTTCGTTTATACAACCGACGTGTGTACTTGTGCGGCTCACCTTTCAAATGATCAAATTTCGCAACTAATCAACTTCACCAAAGATGAAAGTGATAAGTGAAACAGATTCGCGCCGGGAATTTTAATGAGTGTAATTGATGGCCGCAACCAGCCTGGTCCCGCAAGATCAAGTTCAGTTATATTTATTGTACAACGGGTACAAACACGCCACGTGGGCAAAATTGAGATGTGGCGGCAACTGGTCTTCACCTGTCTTACCTCTAACTTAACTAGCCTCATTTACTGACCCAATCGTCCAAACATTGTTCCTTTCACCAAAACATCTCCTCCACACAACACTGCCATACACCACAATGACACATTCACTCTAAGAAATCCTACCAAATCCCCATATGTACAGCTTTTGTGGAGGGATGGGTCGAGAAAAAAAATTCTTTTAACTATAAATACCCAATGTTCATGATAGAACTATGTACACAACTAAATTTAAACCAGGCGACCAATATCCTTTGCCTTATGCCACTCGAAATTAGCCCCTCTCAAGCGAACCAAACGCGAAACCCTCAATCACCTTTCGCCGAATTTTGATGAAGAGAGAGTAGCCTCCTTTCCGCTCTAATTTTGATTTTTAAGCTGGTGCTTAAAAAACACTTAAGAGGAAAACTTCCAACCTCCATAAAATTTCTTCTGTCGCGTCGTCCAAATCACAACTCGCATAATGCCAAGTAAACACAAGAACACATAGTGTTCATTCCTCTTCAACTGCGTCACAATATTGCTACAAACGGAACTGGCTTCGAGGACAAACAACTTTCTACACAGGATACGAACCATGCAATTTTTCTCCAACTGGAGGTCGGGGCCAAAACAGACGCCGAGTATCTTTAAGGTCCGTTCAAGTAAAGGGTCCAGGAAGAGGCACCTTTCCACGCACCCAAAAGCAATCCTATAGACTTGTCGTGGTTGATTTTGGCTTCTCTCACCTCCTCATGCCTGCTGATTTCTTTGCTAATTTCATCAATCTCTGCATTGCTCTTTACGAAACCGCTGACGTCATCGGCATAGGCGGAATACCTGGATGAGGTGTTCGAACCAGGAAGGGTAATTCCATGTAGAACTGGTTTGGCCTCTAACTTATGAAAGAACGTACAGCGGGCAGCCTTGACGAATGGATCTGGGCAGAACAGAAGGTTTCGACCTTACTCCATTCACCTCCACCATCGCACCGGGGGGCGGATACAAGAGACGGGTCCAGAATTGAAAGTACGGTCCTGATCTAAATTGATCAGCGCGGCTTCACTGGCGTACCAGATGACTGTTGTCCTGAATGGTCCTACCCTTCACAGCGCAAGTCTACTCAGGCCCAATCAGATTAGGCAGGACAGCTTGCAAATTGTTGGCTAAGACCGTAGCCAAAATATTTAACTCTGTATTCTAAGGGTAGTAAATTATTAATCCCATCCCCCCACCCAGTGTTACTTCTTGCAAAGCAACTTGATCACATCTCTGAAGCGTTCGGGAATACTCCCGTTCTTCGTTCATTGGTTAAAGACCAGTGTCGGCAGAAGGACAAACGTGTGCGACTGCCTCAAGTACACCTAATAGGTGATTCCATCGATATCTGGAGCCTTGTATCGACCGACATGCTTCAACGCATCCCGGATTTCCTCCTCTGTTATCGGACCCTCGCCGCCAGGCAAATAGGTGTCGAACTGAGTCGGGCTCGACCGAGCTCCATGGTAAAAAAAGATCCTGAAAATAAGATCGGAAAGCCTCACATTCGCCCATCCGGCAACGTGACGCTAGCGATATATCGATCAGCGTTACTCCGAACTTCTTCAGCTCGCAATTTTGCGGTCGTAATTTGTTGCCTCGGAAGACATCTTTTTTTTTTTTTATTTAGCCCTAGCTACCAGAGCTTGGTCCTTCTTGATAACCAATGAGGCCAACCCTGACCTAGCTACGGCTATTTCTCCACTATCTCCCGATTTTATAGCCCTAGATAGCTCTCTTGGTTCTTCTTTCTGTGCGGCTCATTTTTTTTATTCAGGTTTTTGACTACGCAGGTAAATTAGATTTTTTTAAGCACTAGAACCACGCATGCGCTCTACCTAAATTGCAAATGGCGGCTCCGACAGTGCAAGCGAGACATCGTGGCCTCCTAGCTACAGGTAGGTTAGAATTTCTTGGTCTTGTTTCACTACAATGAAGAAAACTAGATGTATGCCCATCCGTAGCAACATTTGCACAACTTTCTCGGTATGCTAGAGAAAATTATTAAATTTCTTGCTCTAGTAAAACTCTTCAGTAGCGTTCAGCAACGATTTCGTCAGCGTCATTTTATTCATTAGGACTCTGTTTTCAT